GGAGAATGTTTGCCTAAACCAGGGTAATCCACCTACCATCTCATTCCTCTATCTCCAATAATCTGTTTCCTTGGGGCCTGGAGCATTTGTTCTATCTCCCAAAGTACTGATGTATTTAAGAGATTACAGGTGGCACCATGATGCTTCTAAATATTTGTATTATAATAGAGTACAGTAGTAGAGAGTTTAGGGGAGGGCAAAGAGACTTCTGTAGGCAATTTTAAAGTCCTTTATTTGGTAGGTGATTGTGAAGTCAGAGGTAACCTAGCAAGGAGTAATTCAAATAGTGTAATTTCCTACCTATTTAGACAAAGTGATTTCATGCCTCTTGACTTAGAAGCCCCCTCAAAATAACACTGCATTAAAGCCAGGCTAGATTAGCTGTCTTTTCTATGTTAATTTTGTAACCAAAATGTATCAGCCAAGTGGACTCTGGGACGTATTCCTTTAGTGACCGTTAACATATTTTCATTATGAATCCTTATGCCTTCTGCCTGATTAATATTCAGAAAGGCTTCTCTTTCCAACAGTAGCAGCAAGGGTTCATCCTTCTGCCTGTTTTAACATGATTGTCTTCTGAAAAGTATAACTTTATTCTATGCAGATACAAATTTATATGAAAAGTTAAAAGTGGTCTTTTAGAGTTCCATAAATGACTATTAAAATGTTCAGAGATAAAATTTAGGCTTTGTGTGTCATCGGTGGCACTACCTATTGGGTTGTAGTGTTAGATTCTGACTCAATGACCAGCTTTCTATACTTGAGAGAAAATAACCCCTGAGGGACCAACATAAGTTGCTAGATATATTGTTCAGGGCTCAGTGTTAAACCTGACAAGAGTTCACAGTGACCAGACCAGACACTGGGTCACCATGGGTCAAGGGCAGCCTGATGCTGCCAATATCTGTACAACTGGAGAAAGAAAAAAATTTTTAAAATAAAAAAACAGAATAGGGAAGAAAAGCCTTAGAATGTAGACACCTGAGCACAGGGATGTCATCTGTCTTATCTTGCTGTCTCCCCAGAGCCTAGAGTAGCACCTATCACATGATTGTCATTTAAAAATGTGTAGGAGAGAAGAATCACGCTGGAGGCATCACACTGATTTCAAACTATATTACAAATCTACAGTAATCAAACTCATGTGATCTTGGCAGAAAAACAGACACATAGATGAATGGAACAGAACAGAGAGCCAGAAATAAACCCACACATGTATGATCAACCAACTTACAACAGAGGAGCCAAGAATATACAATGGGGAAAAGACAGCCTCTTCAATAAATGGTTGGGAAAACTGGACAAACGCATTCAAAAGAATGAAACTGGATTCCTACCTTACACCATACACAAAAATCAACTCAAAATAGATTAAGTAATTGAACAAAAGACCTAAAGCCATAAAACTCCTAGAAGAAAAGAAAGGCGGTAAGGTCCTTGATACTGGTCCTGCCAATGATTTTTCTTTTTAATGTGACACCAAAAGCAAAGGCAACAAAAGCAAAAATCAACAAGTGGAACTACGTCAAACTAAAAAGCTTCTGCACAGCAAAGGAAACCATCAACAAATTGAAAAGGCAACCCACAGAATCAGAGAAAATATTTGCAAATCATGTATCTAATAAGGGTTTAATATCCAAAATATATAAAGAACTCATACAACTCAATAGCAAATACGCAAACAACCCAACTAAAAAATGGGCGGAAGATCTGAACAGACTTTTTTCCAAAGAAGATATACAGGTGGCCAACAGGTACATGAAAAGGTGCTCAACATCACTAATCATCAGGGGAATGTAAATCAAAACCACAATGAGCTATCACCTTACATTTCTTAGAATGGCTTTTATCAAAAAGATAAATAACAAGTGTTGGCAGGGATGTGGAAAAAAGAAAACCCTTGTATACTGTTGGTAGGAATGTAAATTGGTGCAGCCATTATGGAAAACAGTATGGAGGTTCCTCCAAAAAATAAAAAATGGAGCTACATACGATACAACAATTATCCAAAGGAAATGAAAATACTAACTCAAAAAGATATATGCACCCCTATGTTCATTGCAGCATTTTTTTACAATAGCCAAGACATGGAAGCAATGTAAGAGTCTATCAATGGATGAATGGATAAAGAAAATGTGGTATGTATGTTTATGTGTGTGTATATATATATATATATATATATATACATATGTACATCTACAAAAAAGAAGGAAATCTTGGCATTTGTGACATCATGGATTGACTTTGAGGGCATTACGCTAAGTGAAATAAGTCAGACAGAGAAAGATAAATACTGTATGATCTCACTCATATGTGGAATCTAAAAAATGAAACAAAACAACTGAACTCATAGATACAGAGAACAGACTGGTGGTTGCCAGAGGCGTGGAGTAGGAAGTGGGTGAAATGGGTGAAGGGGTCTGAAAAGTACAAACTTCTAGTTATAAAATGAATAAGTACTGAGGATGTGATGTACAGCATGGTGGCCATAGTTAATAATACGGTATATTTGAAATTTCGTAAGAGAGTAGATCTTAAAAGTTCTGATCACAAGAAGGAAAAAAAAATGTAACTCTGTGGACTGGCAGATATTAACTAGACTTACTGTGCTGAACATTTTGTAATACATACAAATATCACTGTATACCTGAAACTAATGTTATATGTCAGTTATAGCTCAGTAAAATAAATAAATTTGTCAAAATAAATGAAAGAGCTTCCCTGGACCATAAACAGGAACAGTGTGGGAACTTTGATGACCTTACAGATGAGTTCTAGCAGACTCGCTATGAACAGAGCCATTTAATAACTCAAAATTTTGGTCCTAAATTTAGACCACACCAGCCAGAGCCAAACTTCTTGAAAGCGTCACCTCTGCTCACTTACCTCTCATTTACACAACTCAGTGCAATCTGTCTTCAGCCCCGTCACTCCACTAAATGCTCTCACTGAGATTATTCACTCCTCCTTGAAACATGCACTTCTCAGCATCTATGAAACTGCACCCACCAGGATTTCGGTTTTCCTCCCACCTCTCTGGCTTCTTTTCAGAGTTTCTCTTCCATTACCCACCTGTTCTTAAAATCGAGTGTTCTTCAGAATTTTGCCCTGGGTCGTCCTCCTCTTTTCAGTATTCATTCTGCCTGCAACTTCATTTGTCACCAGAAATGCCCGTGATGCCCGATTCTTTATTTCTCTAATCTGCTTCAGAGCTCTACATCTAACTGCCTGCTTGACATCTCTATTTGCTGTCCCCCAGCCCCTTCAAACTCCACATTGTTTTCTCACCAACCTGCTGCTCCTTCCAAGTTTTCTGAATGGAATGTTGGCACTGACCAGCCAGCTGCCCGAGCCAGTAACGTGGGCAGATTCCTTTACTCCTCCGTCTCCCACCCCGTCCACCTTGTCTCCAGGTCCTAATGGTTTTCTCTCCTGAGTGTCCATTGAGTCCATCAGGATTACAGTGTGGCCACAGATGGGAGACCCTCTGGGTTCAAATCCCAGCTCTTCCGCTTACTAGCTCTGTCACTTTAGGCAGGTTACTTCATCCTTCTGTGCTTCAGTTTCCTCATCTGCCAGACAGAGGTATAATTCCTGCCTCATAGAGTGAGCATGGAGATCGCATGAGTTCATAAGTGTCAGTGTTGAGAACAGTTCTTAGCACCTCCGGAGGAGACTCAGTCAACAGTAGCTATGACCTCTTCCTCCTCCTCCTTCCCTCCCCTGTGGCCACCCCAGTGTGGTCACATCTTACCTGGATTATTCCAACATACCGCCCCCCATGGTCTTTCCACTTCGATTCTTACCCCACTCCCCAACTCTCCACCCAGTCTCCACACTACAGCTGAAGGAACCTTTTAAAAATGCAAATCTAATCATGCCCCGCCCCAGCTGGAACCTTCCAGGGGCTCTATGTGGCCCTTTGAATCATGACCTTCAAGGTCAAGGCCCCTCGTGAGCTGCCCTCCAGCCCTGCTATTGTTGTTCTCTCTCTCTCTGCTCCAGCCATCCCCCTATTCCTCGTCCACATCAGCCCCTCCTGCCCTGAAGCCCTGATACCTACTGTCCTTTCTGCCCAAGATCCTGTCTGTTCCCACTTTGGGCCTAGCTCACCCCTTGGCAACCCCAATGTCATTTCCTAAGGAAAATCTTGCCTCCCAGACCATGCTCTACCCTCCCCTGGTAACACGTCCTCAGAGGACCCCATATTTCTGCTCCATCGCGCTTATCGCCATTAGGGCTCACCTGTCAGTGTTCAAAGAGCTGGGATTTGAACCCAGAGACTCTTACGCCAGTGCCCACGCTCTAATCATGATGGAGTCAAGGGATACTCAGGAGAGACAATCATCTGGAACAGCTTTTTACATGGAGGGGGCAGCAGAGGGAAGAGGAAGGAGAAAGATGCCCAGGTTATTGGCTTGAGCAGCTGGCTGGTCAATGCTGACAGTCCCTTTGCAAAATTCCAGAGGAGGAGCAGGTTGGTGAGGAAATAATGTGGATCCTGAAGGGGCTGGGGGACAGCAATAGTCAGTGTCCGTCCTCCACCCTAGGTTGTAGCAACACAAAGGCCGGGGCTGCCGCCTTGCTGAGTGCTAGTGCCTGAGCTGGAATAGGGCTGCGATCGTTGCAGAGTAAGTGAGCTTAAGTCACCAGGGGCTCATAACTTTGGTCCTTGCTAACTTAACTAAGTTCTTGAGTTTACTTTTTTCTCAGGTCTGAATCACGTGTCTGCCAATCTAACTCCCCTCGAATAACCAGGACAGGCTCACTGAAGCCAGCTGATGAATGTGGCTGCATTATTTATGCCTGGAACAGGAGGGCTGTAAGGCCAGCAACACCCATACAAAGAGCCCTTTCATCCTGAAAGGAGCATCTGTGCCTTTCAAACAATGGAAATTAGATTAATTAGAGAATAAAAGCAATTATACTAAGATAAATCCAAATACGGCAAAGCAACGAAGGATTATATCACAATCCATTTATTTATCTTTTATATGCAGGTCGAGGATTAAGAATCATGTTGCATGAAGCAAAGGACAGGCAGAAGTTCGTCAGTGATGTTCAATATCTGCGAGACATGCAGCACAAGGTCGACTCCGAATATCAGGTAATTGCAGAAAACCAGAATTATCTTCCACCTTCACTTACAGTATTATGAGAGAGTTTAGGACACAGCATCAGTATATGATAAGCAGTGTTAGTTTTCCAAACCCACACTTATTAACTATGCGATCATGAAAAGCCACTTTACCTCACTGAGTCTCAGTTTCCTTATCTGTACAATGGGGATAATTGGACCCACCTGAGAATATTGTCATGGAAATGAAATAACACTCTCCAAATATTTAGCACAGAGTTTGGCACACAACCCTTACCAACAAATGACCTCAGGGCCTAGATCTGATAAATCCACCATCAAGAAAAAAGACACGAAGGAGTTAACTGGGTGGTCCTACCATTTATAAAATAATCCTTCCGTCCTCAGTTGTCACCCTGCCAGAAGCAAGGTGGTTGGCACATTCTACAACAAGCTAACTATTTATCACCCTAGTTACAGTGTTTACGTGCAAAAACAAAACAGACAGGGAGCCTGAGGAGTCATGATGTAATTACCCAGAGCTGGCATAGGACAGTCTTGCCAGACTGGGTTGTGGGATTCTGGGAGCAGTTAGAAAGTGTCACTCAGCCCGCTGGCTGCAGGTCAGCCCCCGCGGATCGGGGAGGCACATCCTAAGCCTCAGCTGAGGACTGAAAAGCACTCCTCTAAAGACAAGGCAGAACTGCCGCTCTCAGGGTTTTCTCCCTCTGAGCAATTTCAGATATAGCCGAACCTCCCAGGTCACCAAGGAAACCAGGCCTCACTTAGTAACCTGATTTCACCTGTATCGCACAGCTTAGCTCTGGGCCTGGAAATGGAGTCAGCAATTTCCTCCCACCACTTGTCAACTCACCTCCAAGGCTATAAACGTGAGGGAGTTTCTGTACAATAAATAAGATGGTAAACAACCGAACGGGTCACACTGGGAGTCCCTCTACTTTTCACAAAGATGCCTCTGCCACGAGGCCCACGTTTGGAAATCCTTGTTTGAAATTGTCTCTAGAACAGGAGCATAAGAAAATCAGTCTTATTATTTGATGGTTTCCACTGAAGAAAATTACACAACTGTGTGGCTTGGAGCCACTGCAGCTTCATTTTCTAATCTCATTTGAGCTTTCAACACTGTCCTTGTTAATAAGGACACTGTCAACACTGTCCTTATAAATAACAATATTTATTAAGTGCTACTACATCCTGATCAAAGTCCCTTCTCTCCTGGAGTTCTTATATTCTAGGATTGAGAAACAAACTACACACACAAGTAAATTAACATGTAAGACAATATAATATATGATAAATATCATGAGGCAAATAAAACAGAAGTAATGGAGATGGGGTGATGCAACTTTACACAGGCAGGGAAGCCTCTTTGAGGAAGTAACATTTGGTCATGGAGCAGGAGGACAGCAAGTGCAAAGGCCCTGAGGCAGAAACTAACTTGGAGCACTGGACAAAAGGCCAGAGTGGCTGAAACAGTAAGTGAGGGTGTGGAAGAGGTAGATAGGGCCCGATCATGTCAAGCCTCTTAGGACAAAGTTTGATATTTGGAGTTTTTCCTTATCACAGTGAGAATTACCAAATGATTTTAAGCAGGAGAGTGGTATGATCTAATATACATTTTTTAAAGATCACTCTGGCTGCTGTGTGGGAATAGGTCTGGGAGGGGCAAGAGAAGCAGCAGAAAAACTAGCAAGGAAATCCTGATAGAAATTTAGTAGAGATCCGCATGGTATGAGTAGGGGTGTCGAGAAGTAGCTGGTCCAGGAAGTAGAAGCAGCCCAGGCTTGCTTATAGATGGGAGGGGTGGGGGAGGGAAAGAAGGAACAAAGGATGACTCACCTCAACATGTTTACTAGTCCATCCACTCCCTCTGTGATCACAATCCAAACTTTACTTTTTAAACCTCCAATCCCTATACTTCAACAAAAAATGTCTCTTCCTGTTTTACATACACGTGAAACCAAACAAAGAGCCCCAGGCCGTCAGGTGGGAAGCCTCTCAACCCTTCCCCTCCCATTCCAGGCTGCGCACCCATCTAACGCTCAAGTCTCGAGGGGTGAAGGACATGCTCCCTGCTGGTGCTGGGCCTGAGAGCTTGGCCCACGCCCCTCTGCCTCCAAGCCTCTCCATCAATGGATCTCTCATCTGTATCCTTGAGATTTCTCCTCTTATTAGCTCAGCCCACACACATGCTCAACTCTCTCTCATACTAAGAGCAAAAGAACAAAGCTGTCTGTGGACCATGTGTCCTTTTCCAGCCGCAGCCCTGGCACTTTCTAGTCTCCAGATACCCCAAGGCAGGCAGCCACACCCCTGTCTCCGCTTCCCTATCTCCCCCCGGTTCATTCCCTCACCTGCCGCAGCCTGGCTGTCTCCTCGCTTCCCCCTGAAACTGTTCTCGCTGAGACCAGCAGAGAAATTCAGTGGACACTTTTTAGTCTGTTTTCTGAAGCTTCATCTACAGTTTGACACTATTATTCTCTTCTTCTCGAAACATTCCTTCTCTGGCTTTCTGATGTCACACTCTCCTGTTTCCCTCACATTTCTCTCCCTGTCCCTCAAATGTTAATTCCCCCAGGTTTCCATCAGCCCAATTTTCCTCTAATTCACAAGGTTTCTGTGGCCCATCTCAACCCCTCCTATGTTTTCACTCACCACTCACATACTGATGATTTGTAACCCCGAGTCTTCTCAAATTGTCAGAATCACACACACTCCTGCTTGCTGGACGGTTCCGTCTGGATATCGCACAGGATCCCCAAATTCAGCACGTCCATGGTTGGACTCCACATGTCCATCCCATGCCTGCATCCCCTCTCTGAAGACAGTGACCCAAGCCTTTCCTGGCTCTTTCCTTTCCCTCCCCACCCATATCCTCCCAGTTACCGAGTCCTGCCAGGTTTACCTAAAAACTTGTGAGCTGGTGCCTTCCTTTTTCATCCTTTTGCCACCAGCCTGGTTCCAGCCTCCAAAGTTTATCTGCAAGACGATCATGATTTCCTCACAACCAGTCTCCCTGCCTCCAGCCTCCCTCGCCACCTTTCAGATTGCCTTCTTGAAATGTATGTAAAATATGCACTGACTGTGCAATTCGGTGGTTTCCCCTCACGTAGAGGCAGGTCCCAGATTCAAGAACCACAGCCAGCCCAGCCCAGTCCTCAGCTGCTGTACCAACCTCCTCTTTCCTCTTCCTCACTGTCTTGACAAAGGAGGGTGAAGACCACAGCTTTCATTTAGGACCAAAGGGAGCCTCTGTACTCCCACAGCACTCTCTTTAAAAAACAGCCTTATTGAGGTATAATTGACATATCGTAACATTCACCTGTTTTAAGTGTAGAACTTAATGACTTTTAGGAAATTTACCAAATTTGCCATCATCACCATCATCTGATGTTAGAACGTCCCCATTGTTCCAATACCAAAGTGTCCTTTCACACCTCTTTTTCATTGCTTATGAAATTGCATTGAAATTGCCTTTTGTGTGACTTCCTATCAAACCGGACCACAGCTTCTGAAGGGCAGGGGTGGAGCCTTACTCTTCTATGTTGAACGGAACACCTCGTCACTGATGAAAGCCAGCGTTCCTTAACTTGACTGCCAATGCTGTTTATCAGAAATAGATCCAGCTGACATGTAACTTTTGCTCAAATTCAAATCCACCCTCATTGAACATTTTCAAAACCACCAACCACAAGGTCTGCAAAAAATAAATATGGTTGTCTTTTTTTTTTTTCCTTTTTTATTGAAATCTAGTCAGTTTACAATGTTGCGTCAATTTCTGGTGAATAGCACAATGCTTCAGTCATACATGAATATACGTATATTCATTTTCATATTCTTTTTTACCATAAACTACTGCAAGATAGTAGTTTTATAACGAATATAGTTCCCTGTGCTATACAATATAAACTTGTTTATTTTACATATAAAATATGGTTGTCTTTAATATATTCTGAGCATTGTTGAATTAAGTGTATAGCAAGCCACAGAAACTACTTAGACAGGAACAGTGATGAGTTACATTATCAACTCTACCCCTTGCCATGTTCCAGAAGAGGTTTAAAGCAGTGGTTTAAGAATGAATTGCATGACTTTAATGACCCCTCAATAACTTGGTCCATATACGATCTGCGTGTATATAGATAATTTGCTAAGATAGATTTTGCACTGGGTGGACATTGAAACCCTGGGCCGTCAGTGAACTTGGCTGTTTACTTGTGGAAATCCCCGTTTTCACCAGCAGCACAGCGGCACAGGGGACTCCGGGTGTGCAAATAGCATAAGACCTAATAACCAGATATGACTCCCAAATCATAGGCATTTGCCACGGACGCCTTCCTGTGCTGGACTCGCCTTTAATGACTGGCTCAAATTGAAGCCCTTAGAAACCTCCTGTATACGCTGTTCCTAAGACATCCTAAAATATGCTAAGGGTTGGTATGCACCAAATTAGCAGTGCCTTTACAGGTCTGTCTGCTAGCGGTAGGACAGGAGGGTTAAACCCAACTCAAGCTATTTTGCTGCTGCTCCTTTTGGTGGTTGGGTGGGACCCTTTCGAAAAAAACAAGAGGAAATAAACATCTCTTTGGCATATTACATGCTATTTCAGAATCCGGTAACTAGTACATAATTATACACCATCTCAGAATTTGGCTCTGTTTCTTCAAGGGTGTTCATGCTGCATAGCTTTTTTCCCCCCTTCTTTTGGTCAAATGTGTTTATGTAACTTGTAGCAGAATTTAGCCATTAATGTCCACTGAAAGCTAGAGAGGAAGATTGCATGTGGCATTTCAGGATGATTTTCTGTAATCTATCAAATGTGTTCGGATGGGTTTTACTTCAGGTCACTTATTCATTCTGATTCTTTCAAGTGCAGATCAAACAACTAGCACAATGATATAAACGTTTTCAAAGGCCTGACGGGTGACTGTATGAGAGGGCAAGGGTTTAGGGGGACCATCCATGCAGAGGGTTGAGGGAACGGAGATAATTCAACTTTCCCTCCTGTAGGAGCCATGGGGAGGGTTCTCTGCTCACCTCTGACGTGTTTCCCTACTCTTCACAGAACAGAAAAATAAACTCACTTGAGGGGAATATCATGTGAAACCGTTTTTACACCTCTGAAGTCTTAACCTCTTAAAAATGAGTGAACTTTAATCATGTCACCAGTGATCATTAAAACCCCAGACTCTGCGTTAGGCATGTTGGGTTATAACAACAACAACAAAAGAGGAGCAACTGAAGGCAGTGGCAAGTCTGACCTCTCAAAATGCTCGCAGAGTTTTTGAAACAATAGCCTTGACAGAGGCCACTCCTGATCAGGATGCAGAGTTGGGTCATGGTTACGCTGTTTTTAATACCAGGGTTATGAGACTTGAAATGTTCCTATGGTACATCACTTCTTAAGGCACCAGGAGCCCAGATGGTGACTAGAAGAATGGCACTGATAATAAAAGGAACAAAAGAAACTTTGAGCATCCCCGTGGATTCAGAAATCTATAATTCTGAAGAAAAATCGGTTTACAGAGGGACCCTGAGTGACCGCGAGCAGGATCTCCTCCGCTGGCTGCCCTGGGGAATGGGCAGGCTTAGGGAACAGACCTCCACTTTGGGGGCAGAAAAATGAGGATGAACTTCAGGCTTGAACAAAAAGAATCTTTCTTCTTCCATGACCAAGATCAGAGTCACATTGTTTGGCAAAAGCTGAGAAAAAGGAGTAAACCAAGAAATGGGATTGGAAGCAATTAAATAATGATAATGATGATGATGCTGTTGATGGTAGTGGTGAAGATGATGGTAATGATGGTGGTGGTGGTGCAGATGATGATGAGTAATTATGATGGTGATGATGGTAATTATGATAAGTTTTATTGAACACTCACCACCAGCCAGTCACTCTGCTCAGCATCTTACCAACAGCACTTCATGCTCTCCCATAACCTTGCAGCACAGGGACCTCTCTCTCACAGACAAGGGAAGCAAGAATCAGTGGAGTTAGTCAGCTTGCCCAAGGTCATGATGCTAGAAAGTGGCAGAGCTGGGGTTTGTCATGTTTACCAGTATTGAGTTACAGTGAGTCACAAAAACCACGTCATCCCCCAGAGGCGTATATGCACATTCTGTGTTCTGCCCCCACAGTGGCAGCTTCTGCACAGAAGGCAGCCTAACTGCATGTGTCGCAGGCAGAGGAATGGACTGGGGTGGGGAGAGCAATACCAAAGCAGGACCCACGATTCTCCCCGGAAAGAAGAAATAAGAAGTCACCTGAAGCCTCCCATTTTAAGACTGCCCTCAGCCAGTTTTGTCCCATGAACAGAAGCTTATTTATAGCAGTCTAGCTCCAGACACGTGAAACTGAAAGGGAAATAAAATTCTAGAGTAAGGGGAGCCCCTGGCAATGATGAATTACTCCTCCTCCATTCCTCCTCCCCATCCTATGGATTTCACACTCCTCTGCCCCTGTCACTTCAGGACCCTCCAAGAAGAAACAACATCAGCATCAAAAACAATAAAAAAAAAATCATTCACGTTGACAAATAAGGAGATAAACAGCCCCGGGGTTTCAGGAGAGGGGTGCAGGTATGGCTAGCTTTGGGCTATTTCTAGGACTGGAGTTCTGGACTTGGTTCTGTCCCCTGTTCCTTCTCAGTGAAGCTTTAACTTCTAGAGGACTAATGTTTGATTTACATGGAAAAATTGCTTGGCTGTATCAAGATAAAAGTTAGGAAGTATCCACCTTGTCACTGGTTTGTTCTCCTGCTCCTTTCTGAGAGGAGAGATAAGGAACCAGAGGAGAAAAACTTCTTTTTTTCAACGTTGCAAACCATTCTATTCCTGCTCCTCCTCCTCCTCCCCTTTTGGTAAAGAAATATTTAAGTCGCATGCATTCTTGGAGAGAATTTTCAAAAAACACTCAGCCCACAAGAATTCTGTTCATCCCACAAAACCTGCCATGGTCCTGCGTGCAACTGCTAACACGGGCTCCTCCACTTCCAGCCCATCAGCGTTTTCTTCTCTCGCCTTTAATACGAGTCTGTTAGGATAACAGAGACATCTGCTGCTCCAGGAAACTACACTCCACGCCGGGGCTCCTCCCCGACAGGAGCTCCAATCTGAAGTCATCATAAAGGATAGGAAAAAAGAGGCTCGTATTTAGTTGAACTTCACTGAACTCTCAAGCTGACTCTCTTTAGGTTTGCCTTGGTTTGTTTTCTTATTTGGTGTCTATTTGTTTAACTTATTTACTATAGTTACCATCCAGTATTTGGGAAGGAGGGAGGGTTCTGGTTTAAATTATTTATTAACACATACACTGTCCAGGATTTATTAAAAATGGCTTGCTATCTATACGGCATCGTTTTTGAAAATAACAAACCTAAGGCGGGGAGAAAACCTCACCTGGCCTGCTCTCCCTACCCAAGCAAGGTGGGGTGAAACTGCACCTTTCTCCTGGGAATCCAGGATTCCACTTGCTGTGGGTACCACCTGGCCACTGTGGATAAGCCCAGAGGTCAGTGCTTCACCAGCAATTCTGTAGTGAAGCACAGTGTAACTGATCCTCTGTTCCCAATTCCAAGAGGTAAATGTTTTGTTGATATCAGGTCATTTCTACTCTTAACCTGGTAGCAGAATATTGGCTTTCCCCATGGCCGTGAAATTCTGACAAGTCCTCCTACATCAAGAAAGGAGAAACATTTTCTAACAGAGGGGAAAAGATGCGGAAGGAATCTTTCCTTTCTCAAACCCAAGCAGAAAGAGGGAGATGTCAGATCTAGTTTAGAGACAATATTGTCTCTTCACACTGCATTTCTTTACTACGGCAGTGGGTAATCCGGCTCCGGCAGGGTAAAGGTGAGTTGAGGCATTAGATCTATAGAAATACTTCAAGAAGCTTTACTATTTGGAGTATTTAAAATACCAGTTGAAACCCCCACAGCACAGAACGGGTTTGTTCAGTCCTGATACTGGAGGAGATATATTTTGGTATTAAATCTTCCTTTAATTTTGTTTAAGAAGATGGAAAAAAATTTTTGGTTATTTTATTTTTTGTATTTTGCATTTGGGGGTTGATAGTTCCCTTCTCGGAAAGAAAGATGCAATTCAGCTAATGTTAAGTGCTAGATACTGAGGGATTCAAAAGCTAAGGGGTGTTCTTTACCGTTAGGTTCTTGCCTATCAGTAGGAGAAACACTCAAAAACAAAAGAACGAAATATGATAGGAAGAAAATTGCATAATTCAAGCCACAAGCAATTAATATGGCCCAGGGAAGAGTAGTCAGTCAGGGGAAACTACAGAGACGAGATGCCACGTGAGCCCCTTCTTAGTAGATGAGCAGGGTTTGCCAAGAGAACGTCCTGTGACAGGCATTCCAGGTGGAAGGAACAGCATGTGCTGAAGCTCTCATGTATGCAAATTCTTATCCTGTTACTAGGGTGATCCAAGTGGATACAGTACAGTGGAGGTAAGGATGAGGCGGTGAGTATCACCATAGAGGGAATGAGAACAGAATGAGAAGCGGATATGGTGTATTAGGTTCCTCCTCCTTTGAGTAGGTAGTTGTTCGGTAAGTGCTTGACGAACTGCCTCTTCCTATGTTGTTTGAATTTATTAAGGCAAAAACTAATATTTTTAACCTGGCATTTTGGGCAAAGGGAAGAGGGAGTGATGCCTGGGAGAGGTATTGACGAGCACGTAGAGATGGACGCCATGCATTGCATGTTACTCACAGGAGGCATTAAGCATCAAGTTATCAAAGCTAGTCGGAGACCGAGGCCAAAGAAATTCTTTTTTGGTTGTTCTCCAGGCTTGTCTGAGACGACAGGAATATAGAAGAGACCCAAATGAGAAGAAACGAGACCGGTTTGGGGGACAAGAGACAAATTTTGAGAGATCCCGGTTTTCAAGTGGGTCATCTTCCAAACAGGTACTTAGAACTCTGGGAGAGAGTCTTTTGCTGCGTGCGTTTGTGTGTGTGTGTGGTGTGTGTGGTGTGTGTGGTGTGTGTGGTGTGGAAAAAGCCAATTCAAAAAGGAAATGTTGAAAATCTTAAAGGGCAGGGCAGGGAGAGGCAGGGGCAAGAGCCCCCATCCTGGGTACCACCTGCTCAACCTCCTCCTCTTCTGCTTTGTGACCTTCCCTCTTCACCCTGATTGGACCTCACTCTTCTTTCCTGCAGACAGTGGGCCCAACAGAGGTGGTCTCTGAGGTTCCATCCAAATCAGAAATGCTACGACTCTTTGATTTTAAGAGTTGGAAACACTGGGCCTTCTAAAGCACAGTATCACACTGGATCCATACACCTATATCTATGCCTCCCTGATTGCCTATGTGCATATAGACATGGATAGACAGACTTACCATCTCACCCATTGCATTGCTTAGTCTAGTTTTTATTTTAAATAGAGTGAAATGTAGTAATAACTGCATCATGTAGTAACTAGGAATTGTTCGAATATTTTTGTCCAGATGATAATAAGAATAAATAATAGGATCAATATAATAATATGAAAATGATGCTAGTAGTAGTAGTTACCATTATTTGAGTGATTACAATGTTCCAGTGCTAAGTGCTTTTATACATGTTAGCTTTTTCGATTCTCATAAATCTCTGTATAATTTGCCTCATTTTACAGATGAGAAAACTGAGCCTTAGAAAATTCAAGAAACTTTACCTAAGACTTCACAGCCAGTATGTGGTAGGAATTCCCTTCCAGGCAGTCTGACCACTGAGAGCGTGTTCGGAGCCACTGAGCTACATGATCATATTTCATGTTTAAGATCTTATCTGGGCAAGGGTTTTACTTACCCTGTGTAAGCACTAAATACCGCAAGCGGCCCTCAACACTGGTTGTTAGTACGGCGAATTGATTTAAGATGAGTAATATGCCTTTTATGAATTCTTATTTAATATTTCATGCCTGAAATATGCTCTAGAGGACAGACTCTCTTTTCTATCAGTGGTGTGGGTCCCCGAGACAGATCCTGGATACCCAATATCAATCAAGCTCTTGTTGGGATTTCTTCTTTAAGCTAGGATGTTCACATTGTGGTTGTTTAATGTTCAAAGGACACCTTAAAAACCTCAGTGATTGATGTTTATAGACGTAGACGTATCCCTGGGAGAGACCTACACTCCCTATTAAGGAAACATGAAATCACACAATAAAATATTCCACCTAGAGTCTGAAGGTGAAAGAGACTCTCTCACAATACCGGAAGCACTGAAAAAACACGTTGCCTGCATCTCTTCCTGTTAGTCAAGGACTCAACATAATGCCTACTGCTGATTAAACTTAGGAAGTGAGATTAACCCAAAAATTAAATCTAGTTTGCCTAGAACAGCACATTTTTAGCATTAAGATAAATTCCCCCCATTTTGCACTTAGAAACAAAAACCAAGGACAGATTTTTTTAAATGTAGTGTAATTTAAGTCAAACGGTAGCATGTAGCACTCTTTCGAGACTGGAATTACCAAACAAGCGGGCAGCTGGGTTCTTCTAGCCTCATGCAAAGACTCACGTGCAGACTCTCGGTCATTCTGTATGGCAACACTCGTGCATCTGGGGTATTCTAGGACCTGATGTTTCATGCTCCTCTCCACAAACTTTGTTTGGGGGATAAGTCAGCAACAGATTCCTGTCATTTCCTTCTTCATGCTCTAAAAATTATTCATTCTTTAAATCTTCACTGCAAAACGCTCAGACCACATCTGAGAAAGGACACAGCTGTGCATATAAAAGTAATTATGAAATAAAGACAAAAATATGTGGTAAAATGCATAAGACTGGCAATTTCTATAGCCCAAGGACAGGATTTTTCATGTTCGCTGTATGTCACTGAACCTCAGTATGTCAGAGAACTTGAGACAACTTTCCTTCATACTCTCAACTTTTTCCATATGATGATTTCACCCGGGTTTGGGTATTGATTGTATAAGTGCCTTCAAGGTTGCACCTTCTCCATCAAGAAGAGCGACAAAATCAAATTTTTCCATAGCGAAATTCACCTCTGCTTCGCTCCCTGTATTAAAGATATTCTTTAGGAGATACTGGAGGGTTTGCCTCTGGATACAAAAAAGCAGGAAGGGCCAGGGGAGGGGAGATGTCATTGACCACGTCCCTCTCAACAAACCCTCTGGCACGTGTGCTTATAATGCCAATCCCTCCTCACCCAGCCCTTCGACTCTTGCTTGATACCAATGAAGCCAGAGAACCCTTAAGAGATGCCAGCCAGATCCCAGAAATCTTCATCTCCCAGGATCATGGGTTGGTTTGACGATTTCCCCTCCCAGGTTTGGACCCCTACGCAAATTTCTATGGAAATCTGGTTGTCTTTAAACCTTCATAGTCTGGGCCTGCCCTGCTATATCGCAAATCCTGAGGGAATGCAGAACTTATCAAACCTCTTTCTACAGGGTCCTGCACACCAGGGAGATGCAGGAGCTAAGATAAGAATGCTGGCCTCTCCCAAAGGAAAACCCAAGCCAGACAGATCCAATTTCCAGAGCTTAGTGTATTGAATGTCGCATCAGCACTAGGGTTGCAAAAGGTCTTCAGTCAATCGGAAAGGGGCAGGAGAAAGATACAGCTCAGTGAGACGGTATAAACCCAACCCAAGCCCTCTTCCCCTAGGGGAATGCTCCCCTGAGTCACTTCCTTTCAGAGATGCTGGAGCTGAAAACTCTAAGGAACATTTTCTTCTGATTTGAGGAGGCAAGTGCATTCTCTGATTGAGTGGGTGCTGTGAGAGTGGATTGCTTCATCCATGGAAATTTTCCACTGTACAAACACAAGGTGAAGCGCGCCACCAAGTTTTGACATTTGTATTGCACTTTCCATCACTTGTTTGTTCCTTACCCCAGTCTCAAGACTGTCACAATTCTGATGGGCCTGGAATAAGCGAGGCATTTACCATCAGGCAATAGAGCCAGTATCAAGCTATCATTTCCAGACACCCACTAGAGAAGGGCAATCCCCAAATGCACAGTTAACCTGGCAGCCAACCTCCTCACTTCGACTGGTGGCTTTAACCCCTGGTTATGCAGAGATTGTGTTAAATCTAAATCCAAGATAGAGCGATTGCTATCAAGCCTGTGCTGAGGTCTTCTCTAAAGTGGCACCTCCTGAATACATTTAAGTTAGCTGTGTGACACAGCACCAAGAACACTTATTGTCAAGGGCCAGCTCTGTCCCTCATTACAGTGTGAATTCAGGCAAAGCACTTTACTTCTAAGTACTTCAATTTCCTATCAAGGAGATCCTGATTATTATGCTTATCTCATAGGATCATTGTGAGAATGAGTGAGACTCTTTAAGTGTCATCCTAACATCAGGTTCATTATAAATTGCCTTGGTGTCTAGCTCTTCTTGCAAATGATGCTCCAACAGTTATCAATGGAGGAGCAGGTCCTGAGGTTTCTGGAATACCTTCTTTCACCTCAGCCGAGTGCCAGGCCACATTTCTAAAAGCCAACCTAATTTGCAGCTTAATTTTAGACCCTTTTCAAAGTTACATACTGCCTTGTGGATTGTTGAATCAGATTAGAATTTAACAGGGAAATAAACAGCAGCTCCAGAGAACCAACGGGATATTGGATGATTTAGTAGATTAAAAAGCAAAGCAGTCTCTCAGGATGAACAGGAAACAGTGTCCCTGGGACACTGTTGGCCCAGAGGAGCCTGCAGTGATAACACAGGCACCAGGATATTTTGCCCTATGAAGACTTCACGGAGGAGGATCAGGAGTCCCAATTTCCCCATAGAAAATTATGAAACTGATCAGCCCAGGACTTGGAGGGCAGCAACCTTCAGTGAAGAAAGTCATCATGATTACCATATGATTCCAGCAATCCCGCTCCAGGACATAAACCTGGCTAAAATGAAAACATTAATTCGAAAAGATACATGCACCCCAGTGTTCACAGCAGCACTATTTACAATAGCCAATACATGGAAGCAGCCTAAGTGTCCATCAGCAGATGACTGGATAAAGAAGTTGTGGAATATATATATATATATATATATATATATATATATTGAAGTCCATGGATGGACTTCAAGATTATTATACCAAGCAAAGTATTTTCTGATTAGAAAAAGATAAATATCATATGATATCACTTATATGTGAAATTTTAAAAAATGATACAAATGAACTTCTTTAAAAAACAGAAACAGACTTACAGACATAGAAAACAAACTTATGGTTACCAAAGAGCAACAGGGGGAGAGATAAATTAGGAATTTGTGATTAACAGATACACACTGCTATATATAAAATAGATAAACAACAAGGATCTACTGTATAGCACAGGGAACTATATTCATTATATCTTGTAATAAACTATAATGGAAAAGAATCTGAAAAAGAATATATGTATATGTATAACTGAAGCACTTGTCTGTACACCTGAAACTAACACAACATTGTAAATAATGATACTTCAATTTAAAAAAAAAAGTCATCATGGGCCCTTCTTGTCTTCCAAGATCTTGCATCCTTGCTGGATGGGACACTGTTCCAAAAGCACAAATCTCAAGGACTGAGGACATGCTGTCATTGCATTTACTTTATTAGCAAAGAAAGTGGAGACCAGCTCTCAGTTTTTCAAGAGCCCCCGTTTGCTAACAGGAATAGGATTATCGTCCTTTCACCATCAGCAACAGAGCAGCTAAATGTTTAGATTCCAGGTCACAAGGACCCAGCGTTACATTGGAAGGAGGCAGTTAACCTGACACCAGCAGCAGCTGGCTCTGCCCCAGGCCTGGCTCAGCAGGATGTTTACATCGGTGAGATCACCTGAATCTCCCAGAAAGCAAAGTAAGCTTAAGTGCGAAGGCGGTTACCCAACAGAAACATTTTAATTGTTTTGCTTGGGATCATCCATGCAAACTTTGGAGGTTAAAATGAAAAAGAAAGCCTCT